TGATGTCTAAAACTCATTCTAGTATGATGAAGGCGTCAATTCTCAAAATCCTCAAATGGTTATCATTAGGCAGAGTCAAAAAGTGGCTCTATCAAAAGCACACCTTACAATCAATTTTACATTACGATTTCCATTAGAATGTAGCAGACAGTGCCGCTCCTGGTTGCAAAGCACCATTGTCGATCACAACTTTTACACATTGGAATTTCTGATCTCAACATGTAAGAGGAGGAGATAAGTTAGAAAGATTAGAAAACTGTAAGTATTCAGTTTTTTAGTTCTCCTCTTATTCGCCAATTCGACGCAAGATAATAATTCAGACAGAACCACAACCAATGGTGCCATGTTCACAGAATCGTCATTGTCACGTATAGAGACCACAACACCGGTTTACGCTTCCTCCAAAATAATAACGTCGGAGCAAAGTATGATTAGTACGACAGTATTAACTCAAACTACCAACGGTTTAAACAGTACCACACTATCATCATCAGCAGCATCATCAACAAGTCAAATAACGACAAGTACAAATACATATCTGTTTAAAACAACAGTAACAACAGGTGGAATGATATACAGTTCAACAGGACCATCATCAAACCAGTATACCATAGAATCCACAAGAATAACAGCACGCACTACTGATGCATCAAAAACTGAATCTGGGCTTGTATCATCTTCAAAATTGTCAAACAACACTACCTTCGTAGATCTCGGTAATACTAGTCGATCATCCTTTTTCTCAACATTCAATCCGACAGTACCAGCTGTTGAAAATAAAACGCAATCAATTACCACAAGTAGTCATCCACAAGAGAATTTTTCATCAGCAGCTATTTCCTCTACTAACGCAGTTCTTGTTTCAAATACCACTCGTTATGTTAGCACAGTAACAGTATTTTCAACCTCAAAAAGTACAACGACTCCAGTGAGTCAAATGGATCACCTTACCAGTACTTTATTTTCCACAGAGAATGGCGTCATTCTATCAAGTTCCTTATTAGCTAACCAACCAACTTCAGGTAAACAGTGATTTCAGTTCCAAAAATTTAAAAACTTTTTCAGCCATAGTTACCATCATGAATCAAATAACAGCAAACTGTAACAAATACAGTATTATAAGATATGTTCTCGCGGTCTAGGGTCACATGAATTTCGGCCCGCGAATTTTTTGTCCCGGACTTTCGATCCGGTCCGAAATTCCGATGATTTTTCGGCCCGGGCCGAAAGTCTGAAAGGAATTTCGGACCAAACCTTAATTTACCTAATTAATTTTATAAATAATTAGTAACCTTCATGGTGCTCAGCACTATGTACTTTCAATAAAACGTGGTGCTCGGCAGGATGACATAGTGGTCAGCAGTACGACATGGTGGTCGGCAGTATGACATGGTGCTCAGCAAGATGAAAGTGGCGGTATTGGTGGAGAAACATCGGTCGAATAAAATTAAAATTATATTGGTAGAGTATCGTGCTCTGCCTCATTTCTAATAGAATTGCATGAAAATTGCTAAACATCATGTTGCACTGCTCAGCACTATATCGTCTTAACAAAGCATCATGTCGTACTGCTGAGCACCATGAAGTTTACTAGTTATTTATAAAATTAATTAGGTAAATTAAGGTTTGGTCCAAAATTCCTTTCAGGCTTTCGGTCCGGGCCGAAAGTCCGGGACAAAAAGTTCGTGGGCCGAAATTCAGGCCTCTCGCGGTCTAAATCTATCCTTAATACATTACTATTATTTAACTGTTTAAATCATTCTCATTTAGACATGCTTAGCTCAACATCTACTATTACGAGCAATCAATTGACACTCACACACTTACAAAGTGAATCAGCCACAATTAGTTTGGTCTCAACAACTACTATTATAACTAGTACTACTCCTATCACTATTATCAATACTACTGCTACCGCTACTACTACTACTGTCACAACTACTGTTACTGCTACTACTACCGATACTACTACTTCTACCGCTACTACTATCACCACTAGCATGGATACCACCACTACTACTGTTACTGATACTACTGATACTACTGTTACCACTACTACCACTACTACTGTTACTGCTACTACCACTAATACCACTACTACTACTGTTACTGCTACTACTACTACTATCACTACTGTTACTGCCACTACCACCACCACTATTACCACTGTTATCGCTACTACTACCACCACTACTACTACTGTTACTCCTACTATTACTATTCCTACTACTATTACTTCTACTACTGCCGTTATTTCTACTGCTATTACTTCGACTACTGCTACTCTTACTGCTATTACTTCTACTACTATTATTCCTACTACTACTACTCATACTGCTATTGCTTCGACTGCTGTTACTCCTACTACTATTATTCCTACTACTACTACTCATACTGCTATTGCTTCGACTACTGTTACTCCTACTACTATTATTCCTACTACTGTTACTTCGGCTACTGTTACTCCTACTACTATTATTCCTACTACTGTTATTTCTACTGCTATTACTTCGGCTACTGCTCCTGCTCCTACTGCTGTTATTTCTACTACTGTCACTCCTACTGCTATTACTTCTACTACTGTTACTTCGGCTACTGTCACTCCTACTGCTATTACTTCTACTACTGTCACTCCTACTACTATTACTCCTACTACTATTACTTCTACTACTGTTATTTCTACTGCTATTACTTCGACTACTGCTACTCCTACTGCTGTTATTTCTACTACTGCCACCGCTACTACTACCACCACTACTACTACATCTACATTCACGTTTCTAACCAGTACATCCAATACCATAAGTCACCCATCTACCATCCACTTGTCAGAATCAAGTAGCACGACAATGGATACATGTTTAATAATGGCTTCAACAATTACTAGCGTCTCACCGCCAGTATCAACTTCTTATGAAGCTGAATCACCGGATAATTTAGTCACAGATGCTATAGAAATTCAAAATTGCACGACATGTTCCGGAGGACAGAAAGTCGGCTATTTAGGTTTTGAAGAAGAGCTAACCTTTCGCAACATTAGCGGTGGTACAGGTGGGACATTCGCGGTCACTATTTATTTCGCAACTGCTGAAGTACGAACGGCAGATATAAGTGTAAATAATGGTTCTCCAATAAGTATTACTTTTTATGATACGACAAGTTATACAAACGTAAACTCAACAGTCGTTTCTCTCCTGCTATGTGCCGGCTCAATGAATACAATCAAATTTTTTAATCCATCAAATTATACAGCTGATATCGATCGGATTGTTATTTAACTATTTAATTTGACCATTAGAGAAACTGGAGTTTGTTAGAAAAGAAGTGATAAAAAGCTGTCGAATTGTTTGCACAAGCCCAATTAATCCAGATAAGGTTGTAGTTCTCTTTACAAGTATTGATTATCGAATATCTTAACATCTGATTTCAAAGCAAAACTACAATAGCGAATGAGATTTGACAACAATCAAGAAATATACTAAAATTACCGAATTTTTAACTACTTTTGTTCTAACTATTTTTCTATCTTATTGTATAATTTTAATTGTTATCTTTTTTTAATAAATCAAGAAGTTTAAAAGCTAAAACTCAAGCAGAGCGTAAGATGGCCTACAGTGACGCGCCGAAGATTTTCAGCGACAGTCCTCTTCATGAAACAAACTTTTTATTGAGTCTAATAAGAATGTATACTACAAAACTAAAAAAGGATTTTTTGCATTTGCATCTATATAAGCACATTTTGCGTCTTGCATTGCAAATAAAAAAACTTTCCGTCGTTAAGGGACCCCCCTCAGAAATTATCTCCGACACCGTACATCCGATCTTGACGAAACTTTCCATAAATGTTAGGCACAATGAGTCACGGGAATAAAAAATTTTTTTTGTCTCCGAGTCTTACGGTTCAGAAGTTTTCCAGATATCAAGGTTCAAAAAGTACCCTCAAGTGTGTCCCAGATTTATTAATATACTTCAAGCTGGAGAGTTCGGGTTTGTTTTATTTTAAACTAGACACCTAACTACATGGTTTGACAGGCGTCGATTTCTCAATTAAGCCTTTACTGGTTTTCAAGGCAACCAACAGCCTCCAAAACCCGAAAAAGCCTTCCGGGTTTTCTAAAAATCTTCAGTTTGACAAAAAACTAAGACCTAATTCAAAAGTCGGCGCCTGTCAGTCTATGTACTTTCTTTTCCTCTTTTAAACAAAAAAAGAATAAACTCTCTACGACAAACTCCTATTAAAAATCTTGGGACACACTTCAAGTGTAACTCTTATATAGTGAAAACGCTGTATTAAACGCTGAATAAAATACTCAATTTTAGGACTTGTAGGAAAATGCCTGCAGCTTTTCGATGCAAGGTCATACAGAGTCGTCGAGGTCTTATTTTGATCAGAAACGTTTGCTCTATAAATCAGTGTGTTGAGAAAAATTTTAATTTCATAAGTATCGAGGAAAAAGCTATTATTTGAAGATCCGGTTTTCCGAGACTCTTAGAAAACTTGCTCAAAATCCCCAGAAACTCAATTCTGTAACCAAAAGCGATACAGATTCTGAAAGTAGACACTTCAGGCTACCTTTCCATGTGCTTATCTCAAAACCAATTTTTTGACAGAAAATCACAATTTCTGAGGGGGGGAGGCCTTAAAACATAGTGCATGAAAAACGAATGAGCTTATCAAACTTTTCTAAACGGAGAAGTGTATTTCTGTTTAACATAGAAAAGTTACAAAAACTGTTTTCCGTTTATCTGGTGACCTCAGAAAGCTCATAAAGAATGTCCCTCAATGTGTTTTGCGTTTGAATTCAAAATCTCTTTCAGTATTTGAAAATTCGCCTAATCCCATCTGGAAGAGTTATTTGGAAGGGTTTTTCGATCTGCAAAGTCAAAATGCGTTTTGCATGATTGCATATGTGGTTTGAAGAACTGTTTTCTAGAAACGTCACAAATTTTCGTGCACTTAACAACATTAGTTTTGATTTATTAATCTAACTCGAAAAGCTTCTCTCGTATTTTAGAGCACAGTATGTACGGTTTTCTCATATACATTTAGAGGGTTTGAGATTTAGCAACAAAAAACTTTTTATAGAAATTTAAATCGGCTCTGCAGAACGGGCCATGAGGAGCATACGGTTTCGAATGCTCGATACAAAATCGCTGTTTTATAGCATAATCAATAACAATAGCAAATAGGTAAAAAATACGGCCATGAACCACATTTTTCTTACCGATGTGTACATAACGAACGATATCGACGTGAAAAACAGCTTACTTTTTGGCATAAGTTGACTGTATTATTGCATTTCCTTTGTGGAAACACAGAACAGTCTAAATACACTCTTCTAATTCGAAAACAAGCTATAAAACCTGTATAAGTGTAAGAGAAGACTACCTCACGTTTATCGGTTCTATACCGATCGTGTTTTTAGCAGAAGTGAAAGGATCTTTATGGTGCCATATATTTATCCATCATTTTCGGAAGTATTTATTTTTTTTATCGCGCATTTAATACGGAGACGGATACTTGGAAAAATTCGGTTCAGTATTGGAGTTTATTAGTTCACGTCTATTAAAACAATTTATTGACAGATTAAATCAAAAAATGAATGAAATAACTTGCCAGAATACTTAACAATTATTCAGAGTACATTAATCAAAGACTTTTACAATTACTGTTAGTCGTTATATACTGTATCACACGAAGAGTACTGGTTGTACGCGTAAGAGTTTTCAAAAAATTTGGAAAACATTAATGAATTCATTAGTGATTACTGACAACCAGATGGTCTACTCCTTTTCCGATTATATTAAATAGACTTCAGTGACGCACTAATCGGAACAATAATCAAACGATCATTTGTCTGTGAAAAATGTACAAAAGTTCTTCAATTTGTTTTTGTATATTTTTTCTTTTCTTCTCTGCAACGTAATGTTTCCACTGATCATTTTCTACTCCGTTAATTTATTGTTCATTTTTCATTTTCTGCCGTAGTCCTGTTCATTCTAACACAAAATTCTATATTGTTAACCGATTGTGATCAACATGTTCAAAACTGTGTTCACTCCACTTTTACTTCCGTTGCGTATTACATCTGAAACTACACTAATGTTGATGAATATAAATGATAAATATCTCTGACTCGGTAATTGTAGAATGTCCAGAAATAAACTGATAATAATGAATGAAAGCCTATTTTATTTTTGTTTTAATTGAAAACTTTCGCCCTTTTGTCAAATAAAAGCAAACAGTACATAAAGTGGACATCTTTTAACTGACTGAGGAGAAATCATATTCGACATGTATACGGCTTATAATATCATTTTTAGAACCGCAAATTTTTATTAGCTTATATTTTCGACCAATGATATACTTTTTTATCGTAGTATACCATTGTATTTTGACAGCTTGAATCATATGGTATGTATGTCGACAATTTCTAGTGCTAGCAATGTTATAAGAATAGTCTGAAAATTTTATCGTTCATTCATCATCATTCTAGTATTTTAACAAAAAAGAAAATGTTTCTGTTCAAACTGCGCGACTAGAATGTAAAAAAGAGAACTTTTTGATATTGAACAATTCAAAGATAATGGCAGTTTTCAAGAGAAGGATTTGCCTTCATAAACGCTCATTATTCAGAAAACTAACGGAAAATTAGATTAGATTTGTGTTTTTTAAAGTAAATAAATAATAAACTAAAAAGAGTCATAACGTAAATTAGTAACTAAAATGATGGAAGTTACTATGTAATTTTCTGCTCGATGTTTTTTCCTTCCTGTCATTTGAAGTTTGACAAAGTTAATTTATTTTCCATATTGTAGTTCATAGTTTTTTAGATTGGAACTTATTTATTTTGTGGAAATTTAGGTAAAACACAAGCAAAAAAAATGGACTGCAATGATATGGAAGAAGATACATTGTACGTACCAGAAGTCAATTAAAAAATAGTTCTTTCTTTAAGAGAGAAATATTTTGTCTAGGGGTATGACGATTACGTCTGGCACATGTACACTGAAAAAAGATAAACAAAATTTAGTTGGAATTAGTATTGGTGGCGGTGCTCCGTTATGTCCATGTTTATACATTGTTCAAGTATTTGACAATACGGCAGCATCACGTGATGGACTCTTAGCAGCAGGTAATCTTACCAAAATTCTATTCTATTGAACATAAAATATTTGTTTCTTTCAAAGGAGATGAAATCATATCTGTCAATGGTAAACCTGTTAAAGGTCGAACAAAAGTTGAAGTTGCAAAACTTATACAATCAATAAAAGTTTGTTGAAAAAAAATATGCTTATTTAGAAAAATATCCAATTTTCCTTTTTTTTGTTTTTATTTTAGTCTGAAGTAACAATTCATTATAATAAACTACATGCTGATCGAAAACAAGGGAAAACGCTTGATATAGGTGAGTTAACGAGTTTCAACAACTTACTTTATACAGAATAAATATTCGTTTTCTTTTAGTGCTAAAGAAAATGAAACATCGTGTAGTTGAAACAATGAGTTCAACAACGGCTGATGCTTTGGGTCTTAGTCGTGCAATATTATGCAATGGTAAGAGTGCTGTTTATTCTAAATCGAGTAATATTTTATCTATCTTTCGTTTCTAGATGGTTTAATTAAGAAATTAGATGAATTAGAACGTATGTTTATTTTTTTGTTTATTTTTTTTAACAAAAATCTGTCATTTAATCAATATTTACAGGAACATCTGATTTATATCGTGGTCTTATCGATCACACACGTGGTATATTAAAAGCCATATTTGAACTAGCTCATACACATCGTAATTTTGGTGATGCTTTTGCTAATATTGGCGCACGAGAACCTCAAATAAAAGCAAGTGAAGGATTTACTAAATTTGGTGAAGCACATAGACAAATAGATCGTTATGCTATCACATTACTGAGAACAGTTAAACCGGTATGTTTAGATTGTTGAAGTTAGAGTAAATAGACTGTTATTTTTTTCTTCTTCTCTAGATGATCACAGATTTAAATACATATTTGAGTAAAGCTATACCCGACACTCGTTTAACAATTCAAAAGTATGCTGATGCTAAATTTGAATATCTTGTAAGTTTAATAAAAAATTTTTAAAATTTTTATATAACTATTTCTATTTTGTTTAGTCTTATTGTTTGAAAGTAAAAGAGATGGACGATGACGAATGTAGTTATGCAGCCTTGCAAGAACCATTATATCGTGTTGAAACAGGAAATTATGAATATAGGTGAGAAAAAGATCGATTTTGCCATTTATTAATGTACTGCTGAGAGAAATTCATTTACTCTAGAATTTTGAGTCATGCACATATAACAATCTCTCGGTGTGATGGATGACAGCTCTAACTGATTCGATGCACTTCAGCTGCATTCGATATCTGCTCAACAGAGTTGTCTGTTCTGATCCAAAGAAAACTAAAGCGTATAAGAAAGTGTTGAAAAATAACGAAAAATTCTGTTATAAGAAAGGAAAATACTCATACTTATTGTTTTCGTTTTCTGTCATCTGTACTTGATAGTAGATCAGATGACAAGACTATAGATTCGTAGCTAGGTAAACTAAAGAGACGGTATGAAAATATTGATGCTATGCGAAAGAAAGCTAATTGATATGAAACAGCAACACCTACAGTATATAATGTATCTACTTGTTGAAGAGCGTTGATGGCACAATAGATAAAACGTCTGTTTATGATGAGACAGAATCGAGGTTCGAATCCTCGTCAGCGCGTAAATTATTTTCAAATTTTTTTTAAAGGCCCCCGACTTTAATTTTCGGAAGTACCCCGGACTAAAAATCATGGACCCATAGGCAATCGACCACGCTGATTCCGAATATCGCCTTCCCCCGGACTCTAATCGCGTTTGAAAATTTCGGAGTCCGGTGATATGGCAGACATTTAATCATGATTAGAGCAGTCACACTACATCAAATCGCGATTAACACTGATCGTGATTACGCTATTCATCTTTTAATCATGCATAAAGTTAATCACGATTAGCGAGTTAATCGTGATTAAGGTCGCGGCCACACTACAAATTACTCACCATTAACTAATCACGATCAGCTTAATCACGATTAAGGCTGTAGTATGACCCTAGTGTAAGAAATAACACTGGAGAAATACCTGGCAGCAAGAAACAGAACGAATATATATATGTATGATACCTATCATACAATTCTCTCTCATGACACGTCTTTAATATATGCCATAACACCGGTGTTAATCATTTTTTATTCGGGTGTATGTATTGTAAAACTGTTTATTTCTAAATTAGACATATGCGTATCCGTTTTGTGTATATTATGATTTATTGATCTTCTCTTAATATAATCTGTATATACTTGGACTAATTACTCAGAAACTCCGAAAGATGTACTTGCCTATGTACTCACCCAGTATTTTCAAAAACGTTCACTTGTTCACGTTTGCGTTATTCGTTAGAGGTAGCCAAGTACTTTTATAGTACTGAAAACGGAAAGATTGAGATAAAAAGGGTTTTTATCATTGAGACGCTGATAAAGGTATGATATCGCTGATATATTTAAAATTGCACCTATGTCGCAGGTATAAATAGTAGTCATAAAATATGGTAAAAATATGACAGATCACAATCACTGAAAGCATATACCTACAAACAGAACACTGTTTCCGCTGCGTTTTTGCTTTCGACTTCTATTTGAGAACACTCATAGATCACACTGGAATAGCTTTTTACTCATCAGAGCGTTGAAATTTTTTGAGGAAGACAATTTCTTGATCTTGATAACGTAAAATTAAGTTTCTTGCTCAGCTAGATAGGCCAAAGCCTCCTCTTTCACAATGTGTCGCTTTCTACAAAAGAATTATATTTTCATGAGGTTTTGAGAGATTTTCTGTTAGCCACTTCGGTTTTCAGCCATTTTTTAGCTATTTTTCCTTAGTTACCGTGGATAAAAAATCGCGTAATTTTGAGTGGTAAAGATAGTTATTTATTGTACTATTCCCTAATCATAATATCTGCTATTTTTGTTAGATATTCATTAGGTTTGTATCGATCAAATAACCTCTATGAGAGTAAAAGAAAGAGCCAATCACATATCACGTCTCCGGCGCCACAATATACATGTTTTAAAAAAGTTACACGTAATTCAACCGATTATATCTGAATAGAAAGAACTTTCTTTTTGCTTTATATATATGTATCACACTCCTATATTAAACCTTAGATCTGATGTCACTATGCTCTTCAATATTGTTTAACGTTTTTCTCAGAACATGGTTTTAGCGGAGCAAAATTGTATCCCCTCATAGTCGAGTCATCGCACAATCTTCGTTCTTTTTTCGCTAGGGAGGGGGACGACCCTTAAATAAAATTTTTAAATACAGAACTAAAAAAATAACGTCATTTTGCTCATATGTCGTCTAAGAACACCAACGATTTCTTATTTGTGCTCACTCTAAAATGAAATGCATTTAGGATCAAATTAAGTCGCATTAATGTGCCTTATTCTTTTTTTAAGTCGCGTTTTATTTTAGAGTGTTGGCTCACAGAATTTATCATGCTGTATCTTGGTCTTACTCTCTTTTGAAAGAAATAGCTCAGCCAAGACACGCACCACAATGTTTGTTTTCTCTAGTTGAAAGATGAGAAGAAAAAGAGTGAAAGGATAACAAAAAAGAGATAGTTGTGGAATTCATTATAATCTGATGTTTGCATATGATTGAATAAAACTGTTTTATATCGTACATACACGGTTAAAGGTCAGATTGAAGGATGTAGGCGACGGCGAAAGAGAAAATGTATGCAATTTAAATTCTTCAACTTAGTTTATATATAAAAACGGCTGTCAAAGAAAAGAACCTAGATGAAAAGTTCATTTTCCTAGGTTTAAACATGAATGACCACAATTAGATGAGAAAAATAGTCAAAACTTGTCATCTACCGAAAAATGCAAATTTATTAATTATATTAAACAACTGCAGCCAGGCTATCAAAACAAGTTTGTTTTGCTGTATAATATCATGTAATACAAAAAGGTGATTGTTATGATGGAATCCAAAGAAACTCACTTATGTGTCATTATTTCGACAAATTCTAGAAAGTAAAAAGAGAAGTTCATTAAAATACAATGAATTTAGTTCAAAACTCTTTGGTTCGTACATCACAAGGATGTGGAATCTCGCGGTGAGAGACTGTGTTGAAGGATGATTCAAAAGTATATGTGCATCTGATTACCTTCAAAATTAATTTTGCCATCTCCGTCAATATCTGCTTCTTTGATCATTTCTTGTACTTCTACTTTTGTTAACTTTTCTCCTAAATTATTCATCACAAACCACAATTCATCACCACTAATGAAACCATTGTTATCTCGATCAAAAACTTTAAATGCTTCTCTCAATTCTTCTTCACTATCAGTCGTATTAATTTTACGTGCCATCATAATTAAAAATTCAGAAAAATCAATTGTACCATTACCATCAATGTCCACTTCATTAATCATATCTTGTAATTCAGCTTCTGTAGGGTTATGTCCTAAACTTTGCATAACAATCGATAATTCTTTTGTTGATATTGATCCATCACCATCTTTGTCAAACAGAGCAAACGCTTCTTTGAACTCTAAAAACGAAAAACTATGGAATATTATAGAAGACAGATCCAGGACGAATTTTTATGCCTGTGATCTGATCTTCTGAGAAATGGTCAACCTAAAAATGTAAAAAGATTTTGAATGAGTTCGACTTGAGAAGTAAGTCGACAGCCATATTAGAAATAAAGCTCTAGCTGTTCCTGACAGATTTAAGTCTATTCAGCTCTTTGCCAAACGTTTTAATTGTGTCTTTACTTTTGCTTTTTATGCATCGCAAAAACATTCCTAGTCTCATTTTGTCATTACTATGAAACACAATAAGCGTGTCTCGGTAAACTTTAATCCTATATCAATTCTAATAATAACACTACTTACCATATATGAATATTTTTATTGAACTTTTTAGATATCGGTGAGTGAGTGTTTAACAGAAAACAGACCACATTGCACGTTGTTAATTCTGCTAAAAACAACCAAACGGAATAAAATTCGTTTGAGAAACCTTAGACGAAATTTGATTAAACAATTGATAATTTATTCATGAATTCTATTTTGTGACAAAACAGATGTTCGAGATTAATCATTGGCAACCTATTATCATGCAAACAATTCTGTTTGAGTCTATAGTTTTTGATTCCAGTAAAGTCTGTTTTCTTAAAGTAACTTATATCCATTGCAGTCAAACAACGTGGTTATATGAATAAGATACTTTTTACAGAGCTCAGAGGCATGTGCCTTTTAATGTCTAACTGAGAAATGCTTAATTCGCCTAAAAATTAAAATTATACATGGAAAACATCTACAAGCCGTAGCCGCTACGGCTTGGATCGGATCCTGTAGAGGCATTCAAACAGGGTCGCGCTTAGCGCCATCATACTTCTGCAAGCGGTCTCGCATTTTCCATGTTTATTCCTCAAGAATTCTGAAAGCTTTTCTTGGTACACATGATGAAATAAAAAACAAATTCACGGTGACATACATTCTGTCCGTCATTCAATTTAACCCATTATTATACATTGGATAAATGCTTAATGTAAGGAGATTGATCAATTCACTTTAAGATTTTAACTACTCTCTTATTGAATGCGGTACATTTTAATCTCTTAAGCTTTATACGGATTTTATAAAAAATACCTCGAGTCTAGGGCCGTCAAAAAAACACATCAAGTTTGCACTTGGACTTGTTCATTCGTAGCCGTTCACTTGATTGCAACATCATATCGCTCTAATTCGAATATCAGTTAATCTCAAAAGTAAGCTTGTTCTAGTGTGGAAAAACATCACGAAAGGACGTTATTTGATCTTTATTATCAAATTACATTTTATCTGAGCCGTCATAATGTTTCTTTCCGATCTTTTCAATTGAAAAGGCAAGTGCGTTTCATCTGGTTCAGAGTGTGTTTCACAGTGGGCAACCATGTGGACATTAGGTGGAAACACGGACGTGACCTTTTTCAAGATTCGAATAGCAGGTCATAGAGCGGTCCTCTGTACAGTAAATGTGTACAGCTTCAAATCGGACGAAACTTTCACAAAAGCTTCTTTTACTAATGAAACATATATGCTGTTAGCGTAAATTATCGTAAACATTTCTGGACGGAGCTATAGGTTTCCCCCGTAAAATTCATTTTACTCACCCCAGAAACACTTTCAT